AGGTGAGGTAATCATGTGCAAATAGGTAGCCGGACCCGGCTCACGGCCGGTCATTAGGCTGGGCCGCGGAGTGTTGTCAGACCGGACATGAACCGGATACGAACTGTATCAGGTGATATGACTTAGAATAGTCGTAAGAGGTAGATGTAAGATATGTTAGGTATGTTGGGCGCACAACAGATGATAGGAAGTTAGCTGCCTTTTTGGGCCCGAAGGCCTTTCTGAAATGATTAGTCTGCATACTCCCCATGAAGGTTCTGTAACTGAACTGATTAGTTTCAGTAGCTTATTGTAAAGTGATAGGACATCCATACCCATGAAGGTGTTTACAGAGAAATATCATGAGAGACGTATAGGTCATGAGTGGACTGAATAAGGACAAGGTTCAGAACCTGCAGGCCTGAGGATATTAGAAGGAAAGTGCACTGCACAGGTATCATCTAAATTGCTATCGAACACCTTCCTGGGTTCATTTGAGACTATACTTTGAATTATACTTTACAAGTCTGACGGAACTCATTTGAATAATACCAAAGATGCTGAAGGATAAAAATATGTGAGGATTTTATTCAGGATGGGTAGGCTCCTTCAACTTACGAGGGCTGTCCCAAAAGAAACCGGACTTTTGTCATAGAAGGTGAACCGAGCGTCGTAATGAAGTTTTCTTGGGCTTGTTTGAAAGCTGATGAGCTACTGGAGATGCTGGTTTTTACAAAATGCAAAAATTCGTCCTAGTAAGGAAACTACACGCTTTGGAATAAAGGAAAGTCAAACTCAAGTTGCGATTTTTGTCTTTATTTCAAGAAAAATTTAGCTACAACTTAAAAAAAATACCTAGGATTTAAGTTAAAAACTTCGTTGCTCTCATTCAAATGCTTAAAAGTAGGTAAGGAAATTAATATTTCAAGCAGCTTACTAAGTCATCACCTATCTCCTTCAAAATGCCCGCCAGTTTTGTCGATGCATTTTTGCCACCGTTTCTTCAATTGGGAGAAACAGTGTTGGAAATCCTCAGGTTTGAATGATCGCAATTCCTTCAAGGTATTCTCTTAAATTTCCAGAATGGTTTGAAAACGTCGATCTTTCAAGGTAGATTTATGTCGTGGAAATAAGGAAGAATCACACGGAGCCAGGTTAGGTGAATAAGGGGGATGAGGGAGGACACTCATGGCATTCTTTGCACGAAATTCGCCAATTTGGAGGGATGCATGGGCAGGTGCATTATCGTGATGCAGAAACCAGGAATTTTCTCTCCAAAGCTCAGGCCTTTTTCAGCGGACATTGCGGACATTTTCGCGTAATCGTCTTAGAACACCATTGTAATATTCGCGATTGACAGTTTCACCTTGAAGGAATTGCGATCATTCAAACCTGAGGATTTCCAACAGTGTTTCTCCCAATTGAAGAAACGGTGGCAAAAATGCATTGACAAAGCTGGCGAGTATTTTGAAGGGGATAGGTGATGACTTGATAAGCTGCTTAAAATGTTAATTTCCTTATTTTTAAGCATTTGAATAAGAGAGCACCGAAGTTTATAACTTAAAAACTGGGTTTTTTAAGTTGTATCTAATTTTTCTTGAAATAAAGATAAAAATCGCAACTCGAGTTTGACTTTCCTTTATTCCAAAGTGTGTAGTTTCCTTACTAAGACGAATTTTTGCATTCCGTAAAAACCAGCATCTCCAGTAGCTTATCAACTTTCAAACAAGCCCAAGAAAACTTCATTACAACGCTAGGTTCGCCTTCTATGACAAAAGTCCGGTTTCTTTTGGGACAGCCCTCGTAGTCGGTTGATACGGATCATCTGATTTCATTAGCGAAGCTTCCTCTCCATTTCTGAGAGCGGCAGGCCAGAAATTGGGGGCACTATATTCTACACAACTTCTTATTTGATTGAAAAATTGATTGATTTGATTTGATTGATGCTTCTATGTTAATTGATCTTTTATGAGCAATAGGTATTCACTGCTTATTTTTTTTCAATTGAACATACGATGTACCTTATAAAGAATAATAAGAAAAAATTTGGTCATGCCATTGAGCACTGATCGTTTGGCAGGACAAATTTAGTTCACAAGTAGAAACAAGTTATACAAAATGAATATTTACCTTATGATTTAGGCTTCATGACAGTAAGGAGCAAATTTCAGATATTTGGTTGCCTTAGTGCATAATTTTCACATCACTTTCTGTCACTTTCAGGTGCTTTGAGCAAAGGAGGATGTTTACGTTATATGGTGAAAGTGAGATCTGTCAAATTATTTAAATATCTGATGTAATGTAGATTAAATCCCCTTGATGATAAGTCTGTCAAGGACAGGAGGTCCAGAAGTCCTCAACAAAGTGGCTTTATTTTGGACCATTTTCAAGTTTTTTTGCATTGCAGCCTTTGGAATGGGGGTGAACTTCGTCGATTTGGCTGGATTTTTTATTCGATATCGGTTTGATCTACCCGATGAACAAAATATTTTGGTCCACAATGCTCAAAGAAGCCTCCCCCACTTTACTGGGATACTCCAGGGGTGCACAATCCTTTGAGCTTACACATTTCCACGCCCCTGGCTGCTGGCTTACCACATTGTTTTCAGTTGGCTTTCCGCAAATTTTTCCCTTATTTCAAAAGTGATTTTTTTTTCTTTTCATGCATTTTTGGACGCTAATGCCAAGACAGAACTAGTTTTTTTTCTTTCGATGAGCCCCTTAAAGGGGAAATCAAACTTTCCGAAAGTGCATCCGCCTTTCCCCCACTTACAAAGCTTTTCTTGGACGATTTCACTCTCAAAAGAAAAGAAAGAATAAAAGAAAGAAACCAGAGTTTGAAAATGTGAAGAGATTTGCTGCACTCATGCAGTTAGGAAATTGAAATTTCCTCGCAACTTCTCGGGATTTCTTACAATTTTTTGGCATTTTTGCCGAGCTTAAGACTTCAAAATCTCATGAATGTCGCATAGTGCATGGTATGCGTATGCATAGGATGCTTTAGTTATCCTCTAGAGATTCTGGACTTTATCTGAAACCAGCTGGGTACAAAACATACCTAAAAATACATCATCATATAGAAGGTAACTTTTCTAACGCTCTCACTAGGTACCCACGCGTAACCTATGTTGGCCATCATTTCGGTTTTTAGAGAACTTCTTTGGGCCTTATTATGATATTTGAGTGTCATTTTTTTAATCTTCGACCCAAAAAACTTAAGCAGGGACACCTCATTCTAAGATACGAGCCTTAATAACAAATTCAGTTAGCAACCGCAGCCATTTTGGCCGCCATCTCGAATCGTTTGGGCTTCAATGGATCTGTAGTAACTTTTTGACCTCACAGGTCAAATCTACAACCCAAAAATCCCTATGATGGACACCCTCTTTGGCACTTAAACGCACCTATCGAAGTTTTGACTCTATCGTGGAAATTTCGGCGGCACTCTTGGATCTTGGACATCCCCTGGGCCGGAAAGAATTTTTAATCTCAAATTTGGATTTTGAGACCAAAATTTCATGGGAATAGACCCTCAACACAACATGAAAGACGAAATCCCAAGTTTTCAACCCCCCCCCCCACTTCCCCTCTTGGAGAGGGGGCGGGGAGTTAGATGTAGTATTGACCTTGACGACACCGAAGTTCTTTTTATACATATCAATACGAAGAGATTAAGACATTTTCCCCACTTGCTTTACTTAACATTCCACGGGAAGCTTTTTCGAACATGAGCACCTGGATTTTAACTTAACCCAACGATTTGGGATACAACTAAGTTCAAATGTAATGATTGAGTCTCTTTGAGTATTCTTAAAGCCGCCAATATAAGCTTTTAGGTCGCTAAAAGTAGAAAATACTAATGGAAGGAAAGGTCTAAAAACCTATAAAAATAAAAAAATGTAATCCAAGAAATGAAGAATCGATGGTGCGATGGGGTTCGATCCTGCAACGACCGTAATAGAAGGCGAGTGCTCCGACCACTCCCTGATCAAGAGTGCTTCTCGCCCAGGTAGAATCCAAGGGCACAGCAGGGGTGCAGAAACTTCCCAACCACGCGACCGGCCGTTCGCGTGAAATGGGTGAACCCATGTGAAGACGAAAAAATTTGGGGGAACCTCGGGAGGTTTTTTTTTTAGGGCTTAGGGGGAACTGGACTGTTAAGTGCGCTACTTAGAGAGAACCTAACCGTCAAGCGCACTGTTTTTGGGTAAACAAAACATTCAAGCGCTCTGGCTTTTGGGATCCTAACTGTTGACCGCGCTGTTTTGAGGGAACCCAACTGTCGACAGTGTTACTTTATGTGTCTGGCTAAATTCTGCGAACTTAGAATGGGGGAACCCAAATTTACTTTGGGAGAACCCTTGGAAGTTTCTGCACCCCTGCGGTACAGTAATCAAACCGCGTTAAGGAGAAAGGAACAGAGCCACTGTAGCTATTGCCAAATTAAATGTTTTACATGAAAATGGCCGTGCGGATTTTTTTCCAAATTTCAGTGATTTTTCTGCATAGTATGAAACAAATTCTTCAAAATTTTCAAAGTAATGCGCCCAAGCGTTCTCATATTAAAAATTAAATTGTCCAGTTAAAGTTGACAATAGCTAAGATGGCCTGGTTCCTAACCGCTCAACACGGTCCGATCGATAGTAGTTACATTCAACTGCAGCGCCTCCTGTTGTAAATGTGTACACTTCAAAAGTAGGTACACTTAAGGTGCACTTTGAAAGTTCATCCCAAATGGACACCTTTACGTTACTCAATGTGTTTTGGAAACTTTGCGGCCTTTAATAAAACCCCCTCCGAATAAAGGAAGAAACCTATGTCTACTTGAATCTAAAAGGGCACTTGACTCATTTTAGTAAGTTGTACAACGAAATAATTTTTTCTAAGTGCGGGATCCCTAATCACAAGTTTGTAAGTACAATGCAACTCAAGAGGAGAAACTTATTTATGAACTTAAAGTCTAATTACCTATTTGCTGCTTGATATGTTTCTTCCCAGCAGCTGATGTGATATTCTTTGAGTTCTGGTTTTTCTGTGAGTGGGGAGTTTGAATGCTTTACCTTTAATGTGATCAAATAATGCCAATGTCTTTTTGATGTGTCAATTTTGGATAGTTTTAGCATGCTAATCGTGTTAAGCTTGAAATCTTGATGAAAAATTGTGTCCTAGCGTTTAAGTGCTTATTGTGGTACTGGGTTATACCTAAGTGGTTTTCTTATATTTGTTACCAATTATTTGAACGGTGTTCCAAACTCATAAGAGCCAACGCACCAAATGCACTTAAAATTAAAGGCTTTGTGCCAACGTGGCCCCTAGAAATTGCCCTCCCAAAGAATTCTAATTTTTCTGTTTGGTGATTTTTCGAAAAAATGAACAGCACTGGATTGAACTTATGAAGAGTAAGCAGTTGCAGGGCAGATGAAGAACGGTTGTCGCATCTTGTACCCTCTTGCATCATGACTAAAAAAAAAGAAAAAAAACGAGCGCATCGGGTACATCCGCGCACTTTTCTTAAAAAAGACATTTTTCCACAAAACATCAATAAACATACCTGATGGTCGAACGTCATTTCCGGATTTCTGAATGAAAACTATTCCAGTACAGCGCCCAAAAACCCTCAGTATTGAGTTAAAAATTATAGGTCTAATTCAATCAGAAAGTTGTGCATGCACGTTGTGTTCTAGTGCATGGGGTATTTCTCTCAAAATAAAAATTTCATACAGAAATATCAAAGAAAAGAAAGCTTGTGAGCTTTTTGTAATTTTCTCAGTTAAAATTAAAGTCGGATATCAACCGAAAACCTTTCGAAAGGAAGGAAAAAACAATAATTCCGTTTTGAAGTTCCATAGGCCCCTTCATGGCATCAGGTACATTTCAAATCAAGCGGTTAAAACCCGTGCCTTCTTGACGTCACTCTTCTCTATGATTGCAGCCAAAATCAAAATGCTGACACCATTCTTTATCCGCCTAGAGTCTCCATCTTGTAAGCCGAAAATCGCGCTGCTGCCATGTTGGTCGTTTCTTCCCAAGTTAGACCCTTAGAACCAGAAGTATAAATAAAGTATTATGAAAAAAAAAAAGAAAAAAAACCTAATTATTGGTTGTTTAAATTTTTAAATAGGTTAAACTAGTTTCAACTTGTAGAACACTAACCCTAAATCCATTTTCTTGAAATCAGAACACTAAACTTCATTCGCGTTCGAACCTCCGAGCTGACTAGTGTGTAGTGCGTATTACTTCCGCTTCCTTATCTTCTTGGTTCTCGCTAGTTTTTTACTACCGTTTTTTCGTTTTTGAGTTTTTTTAGTTCCTATGTCTTCCAGCTAGTTTTCTATTTTCCTCATTTTTCTAGTCAATTTCTTTGGTTATTTTTGTTTATCCTTTTCTAAGTTTTTGTTAATCTATCTCCGTTCCATGTGGTAAGTCCGTCTTTTCTAACCTCTGTCTCCCGATGACAGCCTAAAAATGTCTGATCCCCCAGTAGATCCAGGGGACCCCCCTGGTATTAACTCCCAAACCCAAAATGCTTCTGTTTCCGTAAGTGCCGATCCTTTAGTTAATGCTACCGAAAGTAGAAAAACGATTATTCTTAAGAAAATTGATGATTTATTGTATCCTGATAACTCAACTGGCCCCTTTGTTATCTCCTTATCTTATGATGGTTTAGGTAACAAACATGCTACCCTTATAGGTGAAGCCCTTTATAGATGTAATATTGTCGGTATTAAGTCCATCAAAAAGATTAACAAAAGTTTAGTCAATATCGAATTTGTGAAACGCGAATATGCTAACAATCTGGTTTCCAATCACAAAACTATTCTCCCCTATGAAAATGCTAGGGTTTTCATTCCCCTCAATTATATTACTCGTAGATTAGTAATCAATGACGTACATACAGACCTAGGCATTGAATCTATAGGCAACTATCTAAAAGATAAATATGCTAATGTTATCTCAGTTCGACGTATCTTCCGAAGAAATGAGAAAGGTGTTTTAACTCCTACCCCTAAACTCGAACTTCTTTGGGAAGGTACTACCCGTCCTGACTTCTTTTATATCTTCTATTCTCGTTGCAAAGCTACCCCCTATATCTACAACGTTACAACCTGTTCTAACTGTTTAAACTATGGCCATCGTGCTGAATTTAAGGGTATCTTAACTTGTAAAGGTCTTAATCGATGCCCAAACTGCTCAGACCAACATGCTGCGCATGATATTTGCCCTAATACAACCAAATGTCTTCATTGCAAAGGTCCCCACAAAACCTTTGATCCTGCGTGTCCTTCATTACTTGAACAGAAAGCTATTAAAAAAATTATGGCCTTCGAAAATCTTAGCTTTCATGAAGCAACCAAAAAAGTTGAGATGCTGAAAACCGAAAATATCAAACTGACCCTGAATGACAGACTTCTAGCAATCCAGAATAAAATTAAGGCAGGAGAGACCATTTCTATTGATGATATCGATCCCAAGAACTTCCCGGTTCTGAATAATAAATATCTAGTTCTAACCTCAAACAATGACCAAGAACAAACAAGTCCTGATAACTTTCAATATTCTATCGACGACCTTAGAAGACCCTATTCAGAAGTCGTTCTTTCCCCCTCTCCTATAAGAAAGAAAGTTAAGATTTCAGAGGTTAACGATCCAGTAATGCCTTCCGATAGATGGCTTAAAAACTATCAAATCCAATCTTCTTCTACTCAGATCCATAAACCAATCAGTGATCAGAATAAAGGTTTCTGGCCCGTTCCGAATAAAGGAAACCAAACTATTGTCGCTCAATCACACTTAGGACAACAGCAACTTAAATTGGCTCCTCCCCCTAGTAACAAAAACTCTTCATATTCTAATTCATCTACCATACCTACGAAACAAACCCCTTCCGCTAGATCCCCGGTACAACCTCCTAATACTGGACAAAAACAAGCACCCCAACAACAATACAAACCTTCTTCTTCTACAAAATCAATAACCCCAACCAATCTCCAAACTAAAAAGACAAATCCTTCACAATCCACTATCAATACACCTTCTCCCACTCTTACCCATTCTTCTGAACCTGTCTCCTCACTAGTCCTGATGGATATTGGTAGTGAGACTACTCTATCTCCCTGATCTTCCCCCCTAAAACCCAGTTCTGTTTTTAATCCCTTTTTCTTTTTTTCCCTTTCTTTTTAACCCCCCTACTTCCCCTCTTTCCCCTCTAACACTCTCTCCTTATGTCACCTCCAACTTTATCTACTCTTCCTTCAAACTTTCATATCCTGAACTGGAATATGAGATCTTTACTCTCTAATGAAACTGACCTCAAAATTCTTCTTTCTGACTTGAAACCAGACATAGTTTTGTTATCTGAAACCTGGTTAAATAACTCTTCTCGAGTCAAATTTCCAGGTTACAACATTATAAGAGACGATCGCGACGATGGTTACGGTGGCCTCTTATCACTAATTAAAATCAAATATAAATTTCAACGTCTTTCCTTAGACACTACATCACTATTAAACTCAAGAATAGAAACACAATCCTTCAAACTAATATTTGATAATTCATCTGAATTCTTCTTTTTGAATATGTACATCAATCCCACAAGTAAATTTCTACTGAACAACCTTTTGACCTTCTTTGAATCCAATAACCTGGTTGGCAAACCTCTTTTCTGGGCTGGTGATTGTAATGCAGAACACCCCCTGTGGGGCTACCCTTCTAGTGACCCTAGAGGCGAAGTTCTTGTTAACCTTTCCCATCAATTAGATCTTTTCAATATCAACTCACTTAATCCCCAACCAACAAGAAAAACTGCTCCGGGCCGTAGCCTTAGATTCAATGATTTGGCCTTTATTTCTGAACCACTCTGTAGGAACACTTACTGGAAAGCTCTTCAAACAGGTGGTAGTGATCACCTACCATGCTCCTACTTCTTAAATAAAACAATCTCTTCAGATATCACCTCGATACCTTCCACCTCCCCATTTGCTCTTCCTAAACTAGAAAAGTTACCAAAATTGGAAAACTGGAGTTTGTTTAAATCACACCTTAATCAACTTCTCACCTGTTCCTACTACAGTTATGATAGCTATATCAATATAGTGAAAGAAGCCTACGCCAACAGCGTTAGAGATGAGAGATTACTGAAAACTCCTCATTCCCAGTTTGTCCAACTCCCTCCCTCTTCTTCGACAACCACTATTCCTCCTAAACCCAAGAAATATAAAAGAATTCCCTGGTGGAATGAGGAATGTCAAATGTTAAAAAATAAACGTGACTTTCTCCTAAGAGATTACCAGAGAAATTGTTCCTTTTCTACTTTTTTAGAATATAAGAAGACCAACGCTGAATTTAAACTCCTGGTTAAAAGTACAAAAAAGAAAAATTGGAGAGAATTCACTGACAAACTTAATCATTTTACTCCTGCTAAAGAAATTTTTGAAAAAGTTAGGATTCTTAATAGAGCACTAACCCCGTATCAAGACATTAATTTTGATTGGATTGATGATCTTCATCTAACCCTTACCCCTGATTCTCAGTTCACTAAACAATGGAACAACTCTTCATCCTTCTCTAACTCATTTGAAAAAATTTCGAAAGAAGAATTCTTTTTGGCAATTAAGAAACTTAAAAAGAAAAATCCGGGTTTAGATGACACCTTGGTTGAATTCATTTCAGAAGCCCCCACCAAAGCCAAAAATATCCTCCTTGACATTTTTAACAATATCCTATTTACCAAAAAGATACCCGATGACTGGAAAAACGTTAAAATCTTCACTAGTTTAAAGAAAGACAAAGATCCGCAATTAGCCTCCTCCTATAGACCGATTGGTATTATCTCTGCTTATAGGAAACTTTTTGAAAGAATAATTCTCAATCGGTTAGAATTCTTTCTAGAAAAAAATCATAAACTCTCTCCTTTCCAATTCGGATTTAGAAAGGGAAAAAATGTATATCATAACCATTTTCAAATTTCCAGCCATGCCTATAAGGCGATCGGTGAAAAAGCTTATATGGCAACTCTTTTTTTGGATATTAAAAATGCCTACAATAACGTTAACTATAATATCCTTTATAAGAAACTCATTTCAATTGGCATTAACCCTGATCTAGCTCGTATTATTTTTAATCTTATTTCAAATAACTCCATTATAGTCTCATATTTCAATAAAACTACGAATCCTCGCCTCCAACCTAAAGGCCTGACCCAAGGTGGTATCCTTAGTCCGTTACTTTACCTTATTTACACCTCTGATTTATTTAGATCCCTCTCTACATCATACATTTCTGAATTTGCTGATGACATATCTATTTATAACATCCATAAGAAATTAGAAGTAGCGATGGAGTTACTTAATTCAGACCTTAAGTGTATTAACAATGCACTCTCAGCACTAGGACTTGACCTTTCTCTCCCTAAAATCCAGGCTATTATTTTTTCTACTAGGAGACTCCCTGATAACCTTTCTTTTAATCTTGATGATTTCTTAATCCCTGTACTTCCCTCGGCCACATATTTAGGCCTCCTATATACTAGAAAAATGAATTGGCTTCCACATATTAATTCTATTAAACTTAAAATTTCTTGTAAATTAAACATCTTGTCATATCTACATGGTTGTTCTTGGGGTATTAACCAGGACGTTTCTCAAAAACTTTTCATGAGTATGATTCGCCCGATTCTTGATTTCGGCCTCCCAATATACTGT